AAGTGCAAAAGTCTGAAAGATAGTTAGGTTGTAGTGTAAAATCTGCGTTGAGATAAGAGTGTCGTTTCCAGCCTGGGATATCTGCTTTGGTGTTGTATGTCATTATGGCATAGTGATTTCAGGCCTTCAGATATTTTGGCTGTGGTGTACCTAAAAAGATTTTTAAGATTGATGGATTAATGTGGTATCAGACATCTAAAATAGTGCAGGCAGGCAAAAACTACCAGAATTTTAGAAAATGTATTGTCCAAAACTTTTTAAATTATTATTCCTTTTTTATTCCTTAATTCCTTATATTCCTTAATTAATAATGTTAATTTCATCTCCTCTCTTACTCAGAACTGTTGGGGGTAATTTTTTCTGCATGTGGCTTGTGACTTGTAAAATATGGTGATACACACTTGTTTTGGAGTAAAATAACGCCCCCAGCAAAAGTTGCACACAGATGCTGGCTTTTGTGGTGTTGATGCTGTACTGTATAAAATGCTTGCTATGTTTGGATGTAACTGGAAATTTCTTTCACCTCATGTTCTTACAGTACTTTCCTCCCTGACCACAGCTCCCACGTACCTAATTTGGGACAGTTACTGAAGAGGAACTACTGTTTTTTGGTGGGTTAAAATGGAAATTAAGAGGGATTTCAGCTGAAATAAACCAGCTGGTTTAAAACCACGTGAAGTCAGGTCAGAGAGACCTTTGGAACAGCCTTGTCCTGCCAACTGAAAGAAGTCATTCCACATTTATAAATAGAGTCCATTTGATAGGAGGTGGTTTTGTTCCCTTCAGAAGCAGGACTATCTTCTGAGGTTATTCAATACCTGTGTGAGGTGGAAAACAATGATCTTCCCTAGCAGCAGTGGGGATGGTTGTGTTGGAAGTGAAAAGCTGGTAAAATCAGTTTTTTGCTGGCCTGTGAGCAGGTAGCAGAGGCGAGGAGGGGCTGTCCCTTCCACCTCTGCTCCCTGGCCATCTGGTAGTTTGTAAAGACCTAAAAAACCTATTTTTTTTTCCAGTAGTTTCTGATCTACAAATAAAAGCAGAAGGCAAATATAGCAAGTAACACCATGGGGTGGAGAACAGGCAGACTGAAGGCTAGAGATTGTTCAGAGCATTAGGAGAGGTAATACTGTGACCAGTAGTCCTGCCTGCAGGTCTTTGCAGTGACAGTCCTCCGGTGAGGCTTTTGGGAGTTAAACAGCCCAAAGTCCTGTTGTAAAGACTGGTGTTTATTTTTCGATTAGGAGCACTAATACTCTCTTCCTGCCTCGTTTGCACGGTTGTTTTTTGTTTCACAGCTGTAACAGTTTTACTGATGACATGCAGACATGTACGTGTGCTTGTCTGGGTGTGAAATTGTGGAAGCAAGAGCAGTTGTGTATGTGACATTTCCGTTCCCTAGGAGTTAGCTGCATCTGAGCAGGTTGTTATCAGGAGGATTTCTGGAGGGTCACAGGTACAGGGCTGGGCTGGGGAGCCTCTGGGCGTGGGGCCCCTGTGTGGCCAGGGCGGGAAGGTGTCTCTGGACTGCCGTGTGGGCCTTGGTGCTGCACCCCAACAACAGCCCGGTGCTGCACCCCAACAACAGCCCGGTGCTGCACCCCCACAACAAACAGCCCGGTGCTGCACAACAACAGCCCGGTGCTGCACCCCAACAACAGCCCGGTGCTGCACAACAACAACAGCCCGGTGCTGCACCCCAGCAACAGCCCGGTGCTGCACCCCAACAACAGCCCGGTGCTGCACAACAACAGCCCGGTGCTGCACAACAACAGCCCGGTGCTCACGCCGTCGCGCTCGGGTTGCTCCGTGGCGTTTATGAGATGAAAAAGGCGCGTTGCCACACTTCTGAAGTTGCAAGAAATGGTGGTTTTGTTGCAAAACCTTTTGGTTTTGCGGTTTAAACTGCTAGTGCGATGCTAGGAGGCAGTTAGAGTTCTAGGGGAGAGGACGGGGAGGGAGCTGCAGGGCTGCAGCGAGGCCGGAGCTCCGGGC